ATTTTTATAGATATTCATTTAAAAAAAACTAATAATGATCGAAAATTGCATGGTGGATAGAATATACTTATATAATGTATATAAACATTCGGTGTAAACTTCATGTATCTGTGGTCATTTTTTTAAAAGTTACATCAAAAACTAAAATTGATTTTGTTAAAAACTAATTGTGCGTAAAATTTCCTGTTTTYCCCTTAATTTTTAGTTTGTTTATCCCGATTATTTAGAAAAATATTGAGAACTTTCTACTTTTAACTACTTTCAATATTTTATATGGTTTCAGTGACATATCATCACAAGTAAATAATTGTTATATTTGTCCAAAAGTTTTGTTTTTTTGTTTACAATTTTACCTTTGCGGATCATCAATATATAACAAGAGATATGAAGCCCCGCTCCCCAGAATGTTGATTCTATATCAAAAAGGATATAGTCTGCCTTAGTCTAACTTATCGTGCTGTTACTGCTATTTGTGTGTTGATAATGTGCTATAATATACTGTTTTTATTTTATTTACACAATTGTGCTGACTGACGTCGATAATATTATATGTATCGACATAATTTTTGCGCACGCGCCATGTCGCCCGTTCTCGCCACACGCTTGATCCCATTGCGTGATTCGGAAAATCGACACAGGAAAATCGTAAAATGATATTTACGAAAAGAATCTGGTCAGGAAAAACTGAATTTGATGATGAAAACTCTAATACAATGCTCCTGCATAGTGAATAATATTGGTAAAGGTGTATATGGTCGGTGTAGATGACTTTCGGACGTCGAAATTTTGCGGAGCGTGTGTCCTGCCCGACGCATTATAATATTTTACCATCGATTTAACTGGTTACGCTTGGCGAGTATTTATAATTACGATTACGTGAAATTTAAAAAAAAAAATACAATATTATTAATCGTGATCGTTATTCGAAAAGCACCGAGAATCGAACGATATTAATCGATGTTAACTCGAATACCCGTCTGCAAAACTGCAATGTATATCTCTATACCTACCACCGTGCCCTTCCCGCCCTATACGCAGCAGTACCTATTTATGATAAACCGACCGTGTCGAAGGTTGCGCGTGCGTCGCACAGGTTCAGGACACTATTATGGCAGTAAAATAATAATACGGCCACAGAGTCTTAGCCATCGCATCATCTCCGTATTCGTCGACAGATTCGTTTCTCTGTCGGAAATGCGCTGCACTCGTATACCATAGTATTCGCGCTGCTATAATAATAATAATATGTCCTACATACATGTTATGCACTTATATTTTATATATAACATGGTTGGCCGTGCACCGTGTTTTGCTGGTGTCACTGATGCTGCAAGTATATACGCCAAGGTTTTACGCTGCTTAGCCGCGCCTCCTTGACATCGATATTTGCGTCGCAGTTGGGACTTTCGCGTTGCACCAACAGCAGCGGGCAGTCTTCTTCGCCGTGTTATTTATAGCACACTTGGCGGCGCACAGCTTCCGCCGGCGGCGTGTCGTACTTATATATATATATATATATATGTACGCGCATTATACGATTTCGTTGCATGTTTTCCGGCGGTATATTGTGCGATAATATAACTATTATACTTACGATAACGCGTCCGGACGATGGTTGTTTCTATTATACAACACCCTGTTTATAATATTTACTCGAAACACTATATATTATGGCGTGTAGAAACTGTCGGATCATACGCCAGACTCGACTATTATGGTTAATAATAACCTCCACATTTCTGCCGCTTTATAGGTACTGTCCCTATAACTATTAACCTGCTAACTACCACGCGTCGGTCACTATATTTTTATGCGCGATTACTATCTAATATCTATATTCTATATGCATATATAGTATATACTAAATAATATATTACCATGACGTGTCTTGTACGGCGACTGGCCGACTTTTGAGTACTAATTGTAGTGTGTTATACTTTGTCCACTACACAACGATTTGTCTTATTGATACATGACATTTTTTGTGTTTCGCAGGTACTTTAAAATGGCGAAGACGGCCTCGTCGGCTCCGTCGGTTGATACTTCCRGCAACCCGCACCGCCAAAAGCCCGGGCCGAAGCCGAAATTATCTCAGCAGCAGTCGTCTTCGTCCGCGCCATCCTCGTCGACATTGCCGGCCCCGAAACTACCGCTGCCTCAGTGTAAAGTCAAGCGGAATTACGCGTGCGCTAAGTGTCCGTACTACACCCAGAACCCGCGCAGCTTCCTACACCATCAGAAGAACATTCATGCTGAACGAATCAAAGTATACGAGTGTTCACACTGCCTGTACGCGTCTAAGCATAGCCAGAAGTTGCAGCGACACGTGCATATGGTGCACCGAGTGGATAGCAAGAGTAACAAGAGAAACCACGGATACGATGAGTCCGGAAAGCCGCTTCTGGTGCCACCTGTTCGGATCCGGGTACAGCGTTTCGAAAAGTTTACGGATCAGCATCTGGCCAAGTTGGTAATCGTRGAGGACGTGGACGTCGAAGAAGTACTCCCGGTCAGTGCTGACGAAGAAGGTGAGAATGAGCTTGGAGTTGAAGTCAAAGCCGAAGCTGATGTCAAAGCCGAAGCGGAAGCCGGAGTCGAAGCGGAATCCGTAGTGGAACCTGAAGCTGGAGAAGAAGCAGAAGCTGGTGTCGAAGAGGAAGTCGGAAGCGAAGCCGAGGAAGAGGAAGRGGAAGAAGAAGAGGAAGAGGAAGAGGATGATGAGCTAAACGATGAAGAGGGTGGTGAAGAAGAAGAACAAGAGGACGAGGACGAAGACGAAGAAGATGAGCAAGGCGATGACGACGATGGTTCAGTTAGCGCGGACGACCATATGCCTGCGGTCTCGGAGCTGCAAATAGTATCGCCTACGCCACCATCCACAGAGTCACAACCGCCATCTCAACAACAACAGCAGAAAAAGCACAAACTGGAAAAGCCATCCGTGACGTTCATCCGGTGTTCTGTGTGTCCATTTGGCAGCCACAGCCGGACGTTGGTCAATAGGCACGAGAAATCTGCACATTTGAAGAAAAAATTCTTCCGGTGCATGAAGTGCAATTACGTGACCCACATGCGGGCTCGTTACACCAAGCACGTCAAGTACCACACGATGCCGATGATCAAGTGCGACGACTGCGACTTCCGGACGCCGTACAAGTGGAACCTGGACCGTCACAATCGCAACCACAGCATCGTATCGCCTGGCACTTACAAGTGCTCGCACTGTTCGTTTTCTGCCGACATAAAGCAGAGTCTCACGGTACACGAGACGAATCACCACGTTCCACCCGTGGGCGGCGTGTTCCCGGCAAACGGTCCCAACCGCCGCCGATACCGGGTGGGCGCGTCTGATGCTCCGGGCTCAGCTGTTGACGGCACAGAGGTATGTATACATTATAAAATATGCAGTATAACGGCGAGATGCAATATATGTTAGAAAGTAATTTAATTTGATACTATAAATATACCTAGTATTGCAACAGCGACAGTGCTCGTTGCTTTTTCATATAAAAAAATACTGCTGATGCGTTCAGATGACGCTTTTAGGTTTGAAGCTTATAGATCAAATTATACACTGCGAATATTGAGCTATAGCTATTATACGTATACCATGCGCGCATATTCGGTACGTGAYGCGTAGTAGTTTGTCCCAAAGACTCTATTGTACTTGTATCAGAAATGAAATAGATTGAATGGAGAGAGGCCCAAACTGTCAAGGCATTCGATAGTACAAATTAATTTTTCTAATAATTATTATATTTATTTCTTAACGTTTTACAAGAAATATAATCGAGAATCAAAATATAATTCAATAAAATATTTTTACTAAATTAAAATTGAAATAGGAGCTTAAATAGGAATTAAATTATTATTATTAAGTATTTTAATTATTCTAACCATGGCGTTAATGATGTAAATCATGTACTCATGTAGGTACTGTGGTAATATTGAGACCAAGTTACCGCATGCATATATGTTGTTACCGAGTGCAAAAAAATGTACATATATTGTAGCTCTATCAGTGTATATATGGTCTAAAATTCAAAGTATGCGACAATTTCCATCGAATAATATATACTATACGTACCTTTATTTTATTTCATCGTTATATATTATGCTTGCCAAAGTTAGTTTTCCCTAATCCTTATAGTTGGTTACTTACTATTCATACAGTACCTACTCTCTCGCTTATGTGGGATGTTCTTACCACCATTAGGATAATATGATATAAAGGTACGAAGATAACGGATAAATTAATGTGTCATTACTYGTAGCACATTCGAGATTGACGTTTTTGAGCACCATATGTGAACCATCAATTGAATTATTGAAGGTAATTTGTATTAATAAAACATTTCTTTAGTCTATAATATCGTTCATTATAATATGCGATTTTCCAATAGTTTATAATAAATTACAAACCAATATAATAATAATAGTGTTAATATTATATTATATACCTACATTCAGAATAATTTAAACGTTATACCTACATTACTCTTGGATTTCTTATGCGATGTATATTTAGAATTAAGATTTGTCAAATTAATTAAATTACGATTATTAATCAATGACTGGTGAAAATTAAAAAAAAAAAACAATTAAATTTTGTCCCGTAAAATATAGAAATACGAGTATTAAAAGTTATTAAAAGCCACGATATCACAGTGATATTACATTTTTGCCTAATGAGTTTTTTTTTTTAACTTTTTAAGGTTAAAGATTCTTTATTTAAGTAGTTATTAGGAATTAGCTAATAAAATTTACTTACTTCACTGACTATATTTACTGAGCTGTTATTACTATTTACCATTTATGAGCGTTCACTGTGACCAGATAAATTTTGCATTTAATATCTACGCAAAGGTCAATTCTGACGTAAAGAATACCTTTGAAAATCGAAATTCTCATTAAGTAGACACTTTATTAATCACCAAATTAACTTGATGTATCTAACATTAACTTTATGAAAAAATTATTGCTTATAAATTTGGTTTATTATAAGTTTTAGTTGAAGTTAATTACTTTGATAAGGACCTCGGCATTTTCCTTTGATAATATAATATCTAATAAAATAAAGATTATATATTTATCGAACCAATTTAATAGAATTAAATTAGATAACTAAATCATACTTGCCGGATGATGTGTATTTCTCTCGAAAATGATTTGACACGCTGGATGAGAGTAAAATATGCATTAGCAGTTTTCTGTTTTTAAAGAGTACCATTTACAATGTATGTTTAGGCAAAAGGTATAGCTACGTAAAAATTGTTCTCATGACTGCAATGAATATAATATGTATTTTAATTATATTATTATATATTTTAATCATAGACGCCAGGTTTTAAAAAACTTAATGGGTACGTTGCCTTGCTTTGATATCATAGGCATAAATTCACAATTTGGGAGATGGGGTTTARCCCCTGGTCAATAACAATGTCCCCGTAAAACTTAAGGAATGCATGGAATTACCTTGGGGACTAATTACAATTTCTAAAATTATAATTTTGGCTCTCCGAATTGCGTCTATTCGTGTCATGATTTTACTACTTAAGAGGACGCTACACACATATTTGTCGTTTCCGTCTTACAAGTGCGTAGCAAAGCAAATTTACGCTTAGCAGATCACGTTTAAAATCGTTAGTTTAAAAATTAGAGTAAATTGACCTTTAATGAAACTTGATGGTAAAAACATTATTTTTGTTTGTATGTGGGTTTTTAACGATAACTTGGTTTTTAAGTGAGTTTTGAGCATTTTTAATTTACGCTTTTTTATATACGTATAACTTTGCTATAAAATTGAAGTATCGTAAAAAACCCACAAACAAACACAAATAATGTTCTTACCATCAAGTTTCATAATAGATCGATTCACTCTAATTTTTAAACTAATGGAGCTTAAGGCGTGATCTGCTGAGCGTAAATGAGCCATGTTATGCATTTGTAAGACGGAGACAACAAATGGGTGTGTAGCGTCCTCTTAACATTTTTCATTTTTTCCTTTGAAATGTTATCGTGAAATTCTAATTCTAAATCATAACACTGATCTATTGCAGTCAGATATTACTAGTCCAAAGCTTGTTAAAACATTAGTTATTAAAGTAAACAACGCTGTAATATTAATATATTCAGTATCAAAAAATCCCAAAAATAATTCAGATATATTTCCCTTTTCATCAATTATGCAAAAACATATTGTCACTTATTCTGTGCAAAAATTATCACTTGCTAAAATTGTTGAAACTTGGATATTTGATTATAAATACACGTTATAAATATCTAATATTCTGATGTGTGTACAACCCCCACATAATAATTTCAATGGGTGCCTTAGCTTCCGGGCATGGCAAGTACATGGCACTTATGATTTYAATATTTATCCCGATGTTTATATATATTTGTTTCCAAAAAATGTGAATGTGTGTACATTCTTTTGTTGGTTGTATGCGGATATACTGTGTTTTATTAAAACACTTTTTAAGTTACCTAGTAGTTACATTGTACACAATATTTTGATTCATTTTTTTTTTTTAATTACCATTTTTAGCTATATAATACTTAATGCAGAGTAATTATTCATCTGTAGGTTCTGTTATGCCAGTTTTGAGATTTACAAAAGCTTTTACAATATCCGTTGTCGACATAAATGTAATTATTAAATTATGTTATTATATATTATACCAGATTAACCTTACGGAATTATTGATTTTACAATCCCAACATTAACTATTAAACCTTTAAAGGCCGATGATAAGATTAAAAAAAAATTGGCAGGTCAGGTTATTATACCAAGCCTGGGAGTGCAAGGTAGGTCATATACTTTATATTCGCAGTGCCATTATTATTTTGATTTGTGAAGGGCATAAGCGATGTTATTATGTGCGTGTATATATTATATTTTATGCATATCGTATGTATAATGTATTACATGCCTATAAACCGCCTTGGTGTGATTAATTTATACATATATAGGTATTCGATTTTCAATTCCAAAAGTTTTTTCCGGAATTTAAGAGGGTGTCTAGAATATAACTTATCTAATATCTAGTACCAATGTGTCAGGTATAGATATATTCAGTAACAGTTAACGTTCACGATTCATATTTTATCAGACTATCAAACTATATTTTAATATATTGTACCTACTGCAGATATAGGTTACCTTTACAATATCGGTAATACCTACCTTTACAACATTTTTCTACTTTATCGGCCGTACATGCAGGCATACATATGGTACCTATTTAGTATTTATAGGTACTGTTTTAAAAAAAAATTTTAATCCGTCCGTTAAATTCTAGCCTTACTTTTATAATATTATTCTCATAATTGTATATTTATATCGATTGAATGGTTTTTTTTTTATTGTGCGTGTTTGCCATCCGGTCATCATTTGGTGTGCGCATTCTGTCGCTAAAATTGCATGTCTTGCGTATTTCTCGTCGCCATTAAGTGACGTGTTAGACTGTTGTGTTTTTTTCAATATGTATCTATACCTGTGCAGCACAGTCGAAAAGATTCCTTTCAAACGCTTATTATGTATTATCGCTACATCTGCGCCGTCGTCGTGCAGCCATTTTATCATCTTTTCACGTGGTTGTTCAAAATATCCCCCGCAGTGGAATTTTATTTCAACTTCATCTTGCTTTTTRATGAAATTAAATAGAAGATATAGAGTTGGTATTATACGAGTAGGTGTAAAAGTAAACCGCAGTYCAGTCTTTTTATTTCATTACCTAGGTTCAACTTTTCCTGTTAGGAGAACTGTATATTAAGGTTTAAGTGGTGCCGTGTAAAACAGACATTTCAATAATAAGCTGCGAACAATAATAATGAATTATTYTTGTTTTAACTCATATAAATAATATGCCGAACATTTTTTTACGAAATATACAAATAAACATTTATTTTGTATACATATAATATATATTGACCGAATTAGGGATACGATCACTCGAGGTCCAGTTTACTCTGCAGTGTTATACTTAACTTATCTATGGCACTTRGAAGATWGGCTATATAGCCGTACTATACATATATGAGCGTACTTGGAAGCCATTGCCACGAGGTGTTGGAATTTATTAATTTGAACATAACATTTCAATATTGTAATATTTGTAAAGGAATCTCCATATTTTTAAGTAACTCAATCCAGTGATATTGGATACAAAAATGTAATACTTTTCCGTTAATTTCGAACGAAATTAAAATATTTATATCAAAACAATATAATATAAAATAAGTGTAATCTATAAGTATAATAGTACAAATAACGTAGGTAATAACACATTTTTTTTAAATATAGCAGGTAATAYCTACTACCTAGTTATATTATTATAGACTATTGAGGTTCCTAATATTTTGCAATTCATCAAAGAT